TTTGATATTTTCTTGGAATTATTTATTTGTTCAAGTGTTAAACCTCACAATTTTTCAGTTAGTGTAATTTTTTCCTTCACCTGTTTAGGCACAATTCAGACCAAAGTCCTTTCTTCCCTGACTATTAATGGTACATGTGTTTTGGACATTTGTCTTCCATACTTTCATTTCTGTGCAGAGGTGAATAATTATTTTCCCTTTTGCTGTCAATTTTCTTATTTCCTTAAAGAATTTTTTCTTTTCTGACAACAAAACTTTTCTGCCATCCTTTTAGAAACCAACCAATGATCTTCTGTGTTGTACACATTTGAAATAAGCTATTTTTTAACTACTTGTTTTTTTCAAAGAATATAGTTCCGAAAATGAGATAATTTCCAAGTGTGAAAACACTGTCCCTGAAGTTTTTTTGGTGACTTCTGTGGTCACTATTATTTCCCCTTGCAGGCTGCCATCTGATTTTACCATATCCCACGCTGTGGAAGAGCAGGAATGCTACTTCACTTTAAAGTACTTTTCATGCAAAACAACAGTTGTATTCTTTAGAGATGCTGGAAGGTTGTACAGAACTCTTTTCAACTAATCTCTTTTCATTTATGACTATCTTTCTGAGAAGACACGTGGTAGAAATTGCTTAGAGGAAATCCTGTGAGGATTTCAGTTTTTTGCTTATTGAAATTCCCCTGTTAATAGCTATTTGGATACACAGTTTTGAATGGGAAACTTAGTTTCATGACACAGGTAGGAACTTATTGTCTTCCTCCCTCTCCCTCACTCCCTCCTGGTTTAATGCTTGAGGTTTTTGAAAATACTTGCACATCTACCTCCTTATGCTGGGTTATTCAGCATAGCCCTGAGGCTGATTTAGTCTTCTAAGAAGTGCTTTAAAATTGAAAATCCTAAGCTCTTGAGATGAATTTTGTGGATTTGGCTTCCAGGGTCAGCACATGTTTATCTCCCTTGTACTTCTTTTGCCTGCAGGAGAAAAACCTAATTAGAGTTACCTCTGCACCAAAATCCTTTCACCTCTAGATGCCAGAAAATCCCCATTTTGGTTGAAAGACTTGGGGATCTTGAAGGCAAAGTTGGTATTACAGAGTCTAAATTGTGATACTAAATGCAGTTCTCTCAGAACTGATTTGACTTCTTATATTTCAGCGAGCCGAGGGATCTAGGACAAGGTTCTTTTCTTATGTATTTCAGAGAAAGCCTTGAATTAGGAAAGTCATCACGGTAGCTTTCAAGGAACACATTACTTTTTCCTCTCAGAATATGGTAGCAATCTATATCTCAGTTTAATGTCTATGATGAAAGGCTACAATGATAATATCAGATAAGAGAAACTGAACCTTCTGTCCCTTAGAGAGCTCAGAGAAATGGGGAATGTGAAGTTGTCGTGGTTTAAACCCAGTCAGGTAATTCGTTCGCTCACTCCCCCCCCTTTTCTTTCCCTCCCCCTGCTCTCGGAGGGACGGAGAGGAGAATCGAAAAGAATGCAACTCCCACGGGTTGAGATAAGAACAGTTTAGTAACTAGGTATAACACAAATCACTACTGCTACCACCAATGATAATAATGATACAAGAAATAACAAGGGAAGAGAATACATCATCTCACCACCAGCCGACCGATAACTCGCCCCCCAGGCCCAACCCAGCTCCGACCGATACCTCCTCCAACCCTGCAGTCTCCCAGCCCTTCCGGCTAACTCCCAGTTACATCCTGGGCATGACGTGCTGTGGTATGGAATACTTCTTTGGTCAGTTTGGGTCAGGTGTCCTGCCTCTGCTTCCTCCCGGCTTCCCCTCCTCCCTGGCAGAGCATGAGGCTCACAAAGTCCTTGGCCAAACCAAAACATCGCTTGTTATCAGCTCTGTTCCCGAGCTGAAAGTCAAAACATTGCACTGCACCAGCTACCAAGAAGGGGAAAAATGACTGCTACTGCTGAACCCAGGACAGAAGTGCATTGATAGAATTTGTCAAAAAAAAAAAACCCAACCTTGTCTTGGTAAAGGGGATCTGTAATGAGATATGTGCATAAAGATTGTGCAAGATTTGCCATACTGCCAGCAAATATTGGATGTTCTTAGTTGGTGTCAATGGAACATGCTACAACAGATGAATTATATTTAATAATCTACAAAAGAAAGGGACTTAGGAAAAAAAATATTTCTATGCTAAGTATGAAGATGGGAACTTTTTCAAGATGAGTGCGATGTTTAGAGTAAGAGTACATCCAATAATCCTGAGAACCCTGTGGTATTTCCAACACCAATACTTTCAGAGGACAAGTAGTCTAGATCTTTTGGTGGTTTGGGGAGGGGAGGTTCAATGGGACTGATGCTCAGGAGCTCAAGGTGCTGTATCCATCAGAAAATCTGTCTCCTAAGATGCAACCAGCTGTACCATTCTGGAATATCATTGCGATGTTTCATAGACAGAGACTTTCTTCATCTTAATTTTAAACTATGAGAATGGCTTTCATTTCTGCTGCTTTTGTCAGTGGCCTGTCAGTAGATATCTAAAGCCATCTAGATGAGCCGTCACCTTCCTTCCAGTTAGCCATTTCCAGTGGTATGGTATGTCTTAGAATTTTGTTCCCAGGGTAAATGCTTTGCTTGGCTTTTGTGGTGATGACAAAGTAATTGGAAAACTGTTGTGGTTTAAGTTCAGTCGTAAATCAGCCATGCAGTGCTTGCTCACTCCCCCTCCCTTTCCTGCCCCTGTGCCCGGAGGGATGGGGAGCGAATCAAAACAATGTAGCTCCCACAGGTTGAAATAAGAGCAGTCCAGTAACTGAGGTATAACACAAATCACTACTGCTATCACCAATAATAATAATGATAAGGGAAATAACAAGGGAAGAGAATACAATACCACCAGCCGACCAATACCAGCCTGACCGAGCAGTGAACTAGCCCTTCTGGGTAACTCTCAGTTTACATCCTGGGCATGATGTGCTGTGGTATGGAATATCTCTTTGGTCAATTTGGGTCAGGTGTCCTGTCTCTGCTTCCTCCTGGCTTCCTCTCCTCCCTGGCAGAGCATGAGGCTCAGATAGTCCTTGGCCAGATGAAACATTTGAGCAGTAACTAAAAACATTGGTGTTATCAGCGCTGTTCCCAGGCCAAAAGTCAAAAAACACTGCACTGAACCGGCTACCAAGAAGGAGAAAAAATGACTGCTACTGCTGAACCCAGGACGGAAACTAACTTCCAAAGTAGTCAATGCTGCCTTTTAATGCAGGTATATTCCAGATTTCTCTAAGTCTTGGGGGTTTGTCCATTATTTTTCCTCCTTCTCAACGGTTCTGTGAATGGTTCAGTGCTACACTAGGGCTGTTTATTTAATAGCATGCAGCAACGTAGATCAATTTGCATTGTCAGTTGATGTTATCAAGTTCACATCCTTTTATGGAAAATTAAGAGTCAGTCTGAAACAGCACAAATATATTTTCCTCTTCCTTACTGTTGTTATTTATTATGTTGGATATGAACACATCAGCATAGGACCATCTGCTGTCCTGGGTTCACCAGTAGCAGTCATTTTTCTCCTTCTTGGTAGCTGGTGCAGTGCTGTGTGTTTCGGCCTGGGAACAGAGCTGATAACACTGATGTTTTGGTCTGACCAAGGACATTGTGAGCCTCATGCTCTGCCAGGGAGGAGGGGAAGCCGGGAGGAAGCAGAGACAGGACACCTGACCCAAACTGACCAAAGAGGTATTCCATACCACAGCATGTCATGTCAAGGATGTAAGTGGGGTTGGACTAGGTATCTGTCGGTGCTTGGTTGAGCGGGGGTTGGGGGGGCGAGTTATCGGCTGTCTGGTGGTGAGGTGTTGTATTCTCTTCCCTTGTTATTTCCTTTATCATTGTTATTATTGGTGGTAGCAGTAGTGATTTGTGTTATACCTTAGTTACTAAACTGTTCTTATCTCAACCTGTGGGAGTTGCATTCTTTTTGATTCTCCTCTCCGTCCCTCCGAGAGTAGGGGGAGGGCAAGAAGGGGGGGGAGTGAGTGAACGAGCTGCCTGACTGGTTTTAAACCTTGACACTTTCCTAGATAGATGGAGAGGGAGAGGAGGTTATGATTTGGAGTAACCTGTGTTCGTAATTTCTGGACTGTTTTCAGTTTGGGATGAAGGAAAAGACAAATGTGTCTCACCTGAAATTGTTTGCTTTCTGTATGTACTTATCTTCACTCTCCTAGTTAACTGATACTGAAAGACCTATATTCGAAACTTTGATGACCCCTAGTTATTACTTGCAACTGGGGGAAAAAATACCCAAACTAAATGGTATAAAATCTTTGCAAAATTGAATACTATTGTAACCATTAACCTTGTTAGTTAGCAGTATGCACTTTTTTAATGTGAGTATGGAGTGTCAGCTATAGTTCCAGCATGTGCCCAAGGGTGGGGAGCAGCATTAATCCCAGCTGTTTCTGTTAATCTTTTACTGCTGTCCTGTTTCATGACTTCTGTTGTTGACTCAGAGCCTGAGATTTTTGCTAGATGTGTGTGATAGTGCAAATTACTGGGGGGTATAATCGACTGCAGAAATAGAAGAATATGTATTATGTTCAGATTGACTCCTGACCTTTGTCAGAAGTGAAGGAACTTCAGACCTAGGATATTTTTTAAAGGAAAGAGTTTCCTTTACTCTTTCCCTTTTTCCCTTTTCCCATTTCTTCTTTTCCCCTTTTCCCTTTTTTTACACTTTTCCCCCTTTTTTACATCTTTTTCATTTTTGACCCTTTCCCCCTTTTCCTCTTTCCTTCCTCTTCTCCAAATGGTGTAGCATGTAAGTATTTGTTATTAAAAAAGAAAACAAATTCACAATAATGGGTGATTGAAAACTTCATTAAAAGAACTGTATAGGAAATGGTGGGTCAGCTCAGAAACCTGCTCTCAGAAACAAAATTGAATGCAGTTCAGTAGTTGTGCCACACAGTGTCACAATGGGACTTCACTTCCTTCCACTCTGTATCTTTCCCATTATAGGTGAAAATATTTTCAAAGCCAGTGGAGATGGGTCTGAAATCTGGGGAGCAGCTGAAGTGCAGGAAGATGAAGATACTCATGTAGAAGTTCCACTGGATCAGGTTTGATCAAGCTCTTTAAATAAATGGATTTATTTGGGGTTGCAAGTTGTGTGCTGGTTTTCTTTCCCCTTTTCTTTCAAGTGTACAGTGTAATTATGTAGGGGTAATTGTAACAGCTCAAAGATACAGCTTCTTCTCTTGTTAATGTGTTAAGTATCAGGTACCTTTTCATCAGCTTCAGAACTGCTTTGAGAGCCCTTGCTCTGAGAGCCCTTATAGTGCTTGGAAAATCTGGGCTCCTTGCTGTCACAGCCTACCAAATAGATCCACCTGGATCTCAGTCCATTCATACTGGTGGAGCAGAGTAAAGGCAGTATGGTACAGAATCAATGTCAGAATTCCTGAAGCCCTGAACTACAAACAGGTGTGGATTTATCTGATTTTTATTAAAGCTGTCAGCACTTTCTTCTGTTGGAACAACATGGTACTTAGTTGGCCAAAATTTTATTCATAAGACTTACGTGCAATAAATTGGTCTTTATAACTAAACATAAGATTGTATCCTCTCTCTTTGATTTGTTTTTAAAAGAAACTCCTGTCAACTGAAATAGCACAGGAAGTAGGTAAACTGATGTTTATTTGAATGGGGAGTAGAGCTGCTTAAATTATTTGCTGAAGAATTACTTCTTTTCTTTCCTTTTTTTTTTTTTTTTCTGTTTCCCAGCTTATGAATTGCTGACAAGACAGTTCTCTTTCATCTCACACTTGCAGTAATTTGCTACCTTGTTCAACTTTGTGTCCAGTCCACAAGATGTTGCACTGTGCTTTTGGTGTCTGTTGATAATAGCTTAGAGCCAGCCACCTAGGCCAGAGAATAGTGTTTCTGATACATGCTGCAGTGTAAGCAATTACATTTTACCCAATAGCTTTCTCAGGCTAAAAATGATTCAGAGCAGCCCTGTGGAGAAGGACTTGGGGGTGCTGGTTGGTGAGAAAATGAACATGAGCTGGCAGTGTGCGCTCACAGGCCAGAAAGCCAACCATATCCTGGGCTGCATCAAGAGGAACGTGACCAGCAGGTCGAAGGAGGTGATCCTGCCCCTCTCCTCTGCTCTTGTGAGACCCCACTTGGAGTATTGTGTGCAGTTCTGGTGTCCTCAACATAAAAAGGACATGGAACTGTTGGAACAAGTCCAGAGAAGGGCCACGAGGATGATCAGGGGACTGGAGCACCTCCCGTATGAAGACAGGCTGAGAAAGTTGGGGCTGTTCAGCCTGGAGAAGAGGAGGCTGCGTGGAGACCTCATAGCAGCCTTCCAGTATCTGAAGGGGGGCTATAGGGATGCTGAGGAGGGACTCTTCATTAGGGACTGTAGTGATAGGACAGGGGGTAATGGGTTCAAACTTAAACAGGGGAAGTTTAGCTTGGATATAAGGAGGAAATCCTTTCCTGTGAGGGTGGTGAGGCACTGGAATGGGTTGCCCAGGGTGGCTGTGAATGCTCCATCCCTGGCAGTGTTCAAGGCCAGGTTGGACGAGGCCTTGGGTGGTATGGTTTAGTGTGAGGTGTCCATGCCCATTGCAGGGGGGGTGGAACTTGATGATCTTAAGGTCCTTTCCAACCCTAACTATTCTATGACTCTATGATTCCAGCAGTGTAAGTGATTCTTGGGCATTTTCCTGACTTCTGGTCAGCTCGGTGATGAGGAGCTGCTGTCAGTGTGAGATTGTAAACAAATGGGAGGGAGTTGAAAATAGTTTGTAAATACACTTTAATTACTCAGGGCAACAGGATGGAACACAAACAATCCAGGAGATTCCTGGACTGTGTCAGAGCCAATTTTTTATTGTAAGTAGTGGGATACATGATTAGGAGAGGCATTCTGCTGGGTTTGCTACTCATGAATAAAGAGTAACTTACTGGGGATCTGATAGTGGCAGCCTTAGTGCAGTGGCCATGAGATGACAGAGTTTAAGACACTGAAGAAAGTGGGGATGGCAAATAAAATAAAAATCATAGAATTCAGGAGAGTGGACTCTGCCTTGTTTGGCAAACTGGCAGGCAGGATCCTGCATGAGGCTGCCCTGAAGTGCAGAGGAGCATGGGAGATGTGGTTGATCTTCAACGGTATCTCCCTTAAAGCACAAGAATTATCCTTATGTGCAAGAAAACAGGCAGGCATAGCAGGAAGATGCTTTGAACAGAGGACTCTGGACCTCATACTAAAAGACATGGGAAGGTGAGGAACTGCTAAGGAGCAGTATGGAGATATTGACTGGGCATGCAGGGATGGAACTGGGAAAGCCAAAACTTGTTGAGAAATGGAAACTGATGCATGTGATTCTGAATAACCAGCAATGGATTTGCTATGGGCAAATCATACTTAACCAGTCTCTACATTAATGATGAATAACTGGCTCTGTGGATGAAGGGAGAGTAGCTATCATCATTTATCTTGTTTTCAGCATAGACTTATGTATTTATAGGAGAAATTGGAAGAAATGTGGTAGATATGGGGAGGAAGATATCCTTAAGGAAGGTAGGGACTGGATCTGTGGGCTGCAAACTGGATGAAAAATTGACTGGTTTGGTGGGACTTAAAAAGTCTATTGGTTGAAACTGCAATTCATATGAAATCCAAGAATACTGGAGACGGCTTCCTTACTTCTCCATGGAGATCGTACAGTGGAGGCAACAGCTCTGCCCGTTCTGTGGTGTGTCTCACCAGTTCACTTCAGCCAGAGGACAGTGACCATCATTAGGGAAGGAAGAACAGTTAACTTTCAACCAACACTTCTGTACTTGGCAGTGGTAGCTGTGGTTGTTAGAGTTGCCAGTGAACATGGATGTGCTGGCAAGCTTACAGTGCTAAGAACTTGCTTGATACCTCTAAGCTCGTGTACAAAAGCGCATGCATTGTGCTTGGATGGAAATATTTTTTGGTTGCTATCAACTGATTTTGCTACCTGGACAAGGAGCTGAAAGCAGGTGTGTTTGGGGGGAGCAGATTTAAAAAACCAGACATGTACACTACTAATAGTCTGATTTAAATTTTCAGAAAAGCCAAACAGAGCACCAAAATTTATTTAAACTCAAGCCATGATGTATTTATCATCTTAAAACTTTATATATAGTTTGCTGGGTAATCTGGCAAGAAGCCAGGTCCTTCTGAATAGCACTGAGTACTTTTTGTTCCCAGATAACTTGGATTACTCAGACCTTGGAAGCATTTAGCATATTACATGTTCAGGTTCTTATTAACAATCATTTTAAATTGTTTTAAATTTTGTGATGTAAAGCTTTATAGCTTTTTCTTATCTAAACTGCAGTTTCTGTTATTGCTAGAAATATGGAAAAGGGCAGCCAATCAGGGCTTGACTATCTTGCATTATGCACAAATATTTACATGGCAGGTTTCACTAGAATGCTGGCACTTTTTATATGCTATCATTTCCATCAGCCGCATAAATGAGGTGGTGAAAATAGAGCTTAGTCTTTTTTTTTCTTTTTATGCACCTTCTCTGTGTTGTCATTTGCAGTACACTGTTGAACAAATGCCAGATTAGCCATTAACTAAACTTAGTGTAATACTGGCTAGACAGCTGCTTATGTCCTATTCTGTAAAATGCTGTCTGCCAGCTGAGAACACATTAAAAGAACAGGATTTGCTTTACTCCAGACTAGCTGACAGTTGTAATTGAACATCAAGGAAGAAAAATCAGTGTTTGGCCTAAAACCAAACCAGACCCTTCTGTTCTATATTCTGTGTCAGGATTTCAGCTTCCAAATGCAAAATGGATAGTTTCTTCTTTTGACATGCAGACTTATTCCAGGTTGGTTGTTTACATCTCTGTGTCAACATTCATGGTAATGTATGGCAGACTATGAAATCAGTTGTGCAAATAACAGGGAACAAGGTGGTTTTATTGCAGTTCTTGGTAAGGGCGCAGCAAAAAAAAGATGAGTTTCTTATTTGAGATGGTAATTAAGTGTGTTACTTTGAGTTTGCTGATAATAATATCAATATATTCAAAGAAACTCTGAGATAGAAAATCTAACTTTCAAAGCTTTCGGAATCAACTACTGTAATTTTATACAAGTTGTGAAATACAAAGCCAGCAGTTGGTTGTAATAGTACTGAAATAGCACTGCAAGTTTGCATTGGTTTATCCATTTCCATAAGCAGGGTTGGGGTAGGCATGAAAGTTATGACATGCTGTCCAGTGCCTGACCCCTACAAGGAATTCATGCATGTTGTGCTAGCCTACTTTACCAGGGGGTATATGATACTGGCTATTAAGATTTAAGTGATGGTGAATGAATCTCTTTGTTTGGGATTTGGTTGTGGTTTTGGTTTTTTTTTCGCTCCAGATTCATCATCTCAATCTCCCTCTCTCTGTGTTTATTTGTAAGACTCACTGGATGCTAAATTCATCTAATGGGCACTGATTTGGGGTTTTGTAGATGTTCCCACTCTTGGTTCTTTCAGTAGCCATTTTCTTTCTATTACTACAGACATGTCCACTGATTAACGCAGACCTGATGCCACTCATTATTCCCCATTTCCTGGGCTGTTATGTGATGTGAGATTGTGTAGCCCCCCCTAGGTGCTCTCTGCAGCTGGAGTGTGTCATCAGTTGCAGAAAATTTGCACCTTTCATTTGTAGTTTTCATTATTGAGTGTACATTTTGCTTTAGAAACCCAAGATTCACCTCAGTGAGCAGAACAGAATGTTTATTTTCCCTGTTGCTGAAGGGAAAATGTTAAAGCTTACAGTGATTCAACAGTAAAACAGGCTGACTGCTTGAAGAGACATTCCTTGATTAAAAAGGTTAGGACCTTTCACGAGAAAACATTTTGCATTGCATCAGTAAGTATTTCAAAATGACATTTGCAAAGAATACATGCAGAACTTCATATGCTGAAATTTTGCTACGAATGATGCAGCTGTAATCTAAGCCTTCTGGATGCTGAGTGCTGACAAGCCAGCAGATAAGATTTTCACAGCATATTCTTCTTTCAGCTCCACTGATTTGCACTTTCTTTTTTTTACTGTTT